ACTAGTGAAGAGCTGGAATACCTTCAGCTTTTCGGTATGGGAGATTCTGGTCAGAGCTCAGTAGACCAGAAAGCTAGTAGAAAGCCTGCATGCAAAGACCAGGCTGTGGGAGTGCTCCATTGGGAAGACTGTATTGGTTGGGGGACTACTGATGATTTGTGTTATGGGTTGGCAGAAAGTTGTCTGTATTTTGCTTCTGTCTGGAGACTTTGCCTGAGACTGAGATTAAGTGCAGTAGACTCGTTAATTTTGCAAAAGAAATCTCAAAGCAGTCAAATGTTGAGGCAGTGGCATGGTGACTATTTGGGGCTTTTAGTCAGATATATATTGAGAATCAAGAGCAAAGAGCCCAGTAAAATGGTTTAAAATGTTAGTTTGCCCAGAAAGGAAGTAACAGGAAGGCTGTAGGCTGCAAAGAGAGAGCTGAGATATCAATTGCCCAGGAGGAACAGGACAGTAGAAAAGATTTCAGGAGGACATCACAGGAGGTGAGAGGTTCTCACCCTTTACAGCCTCAAAATCACAAGGGTGAGGGACTTTGCTTTGAGGAGAAAGGTGCAGAGCCCCATGTTCTAGAATGGAGGTGACGGCCACACCGGGTTCCAGAATGGTGGCAGCATAGAGAATTTGTTCCTCAAAATCAGGATCAGAGTGCTCGCTTCGGCAGCACATATACTAAAATCAGAATCAAAGTGCTCAGTGACCAAGGCACTTGATCCCTACAGCCAAGAGAGAAGAAATCTTGGCTACTGCTCCAACTGGCAACAGCCTTTGGCATTGTCCATATGGTATTGGTGTTAGGTGCATTCAGAATACGTGAGTTATGAGGTTAAGAAGACTTCCAGCTAGATTTCCAAAGGCCTAGGAGGCCAGGCAGTGTGCCCCTGAGAAGGCACTGTATAAAGCTCTGAGTGAGAAGCCTATTCAGTGGAAATCCCAGAAGTTTGGAAAAATCCAGGATTATGAGTTGTCTGAGGAAAGCTGCCAGAAGGGAGCAAAGCCAGCCCCAGAGAAAAGCCATGGCAGAAGTGTTGCAGAGGTGGATCCGTGTAAGGGTTTGGGTGCTCACAAGTCATTACAGATTGCTTTGGATGTTCCACATGGAACTACAGGACTTAACGTTTGCCCTTCGGGATTTTGGACTTGCTTTGGTCCCAATGCTTTCTATCCTGCTGCTTGTAACTTTTGTAACAGTAATGTGTTTGTTGTATCATTGAACATTGGAAGTGTTTAACTTTTCATTTGTACAGGGGCTTACAGCTAAGAGTGTCTTAGATCTTGGAGGAGACTTGTGGCTTGGACTTTTCAGCAACACTGAAACTGTTAGAACTTTGGCAACTCTTAGAGGTGGATTAAAACGCCTTTCATATAAAGGGATGTACATAAGTCTTTGTGTGTGTGTGGGGGGGGGTGCCCAGAGACAAAATGTCATGGTTCTAATGTAATAATATGTTCAAGTTGAAAATGTTGCTAAATATGTTTATGCACCTGGAAACTGGTTTAAGGAAAGGTCTGGTTGCCAAGTTGACAAGGGGTGGATTGTACTCATTGATACATTGTGTCAACTTGAGGAGTTTAGAAGTTTAAGTGATTCATTAGAGAGCCAGGATTCTTAGCTTGTAAACATCCTCATTCTGTGCAAGAGGAGGGCATGAACATTGTGTGAGTTCTATACCCCAACCCAGGGTAGCTTGTTTATAATATAAAGAGGGGAGAGAGGGTGGCTATAAGCCACACTTGCTGTCCCTCCCTTTGCTCTTTGAGCTGCCATGAACTGCTGCTCTCTGCCATATGCCACCCTACCTGGGATCCAGCTGAGTATAGACTGAACCTTCCACAAACTGTGAGCTAAATAAACCTTTCTTTCCTTAATTTTAGGTGTCAGGTATTTTGCTCCAGGAATAAGTAAAAAGTAATAGAGACAGTTTGGATAAGGAAAAGACAAACTAAGAAATAAGTTAAGCATAAGGAAAAGACCAAAAATAAGAACAGTCTCATAAGCCTTGGAGAGTAGTTAGTTTTTTCTCAAAAGTAATATGGACCCATTAGTCTTGCCAAGTTTTAAAAGTTAACTATTATATTTTAATTTTGAAAGATCAGTTTGGCAACTGTGCATGAATGAATTGAGGTAAAAGTTACCAAGATGAGAGAAGCCACCCCCAGCTATAAACTTGGTGAGAATTGATGACACTAGAAGGAAGAAATGCTTAGCGAAGTATTTCAGAGAAGTGATCCCTATAATAGATTAATTTTTTGTGCAGGATGAGGAGAACAGAGAGTCAAGGAAGATGCACCCTGTTTTCAGCCAAGATGCAAACTGAGATCAGTGGAAAGAAAATGCATTTACTGATGCACCCTTGGAGTTTGAATTATTTTAGAACAGTCAAGCATACAAAGATGCATGCTGATATACAAAGCTGAGATTTAGGAGGCAAATCTGGCATCAAGTTTTGGAGTTGGGCATCATTACAGTCCTGGCAACAATGATGACATCATCCTGAAAGAATGCCTTGGAGTAATGAAAGCACTCAATTTTAAAGTGAAAAACACAAAATTTCAAGAAAAGGCAACTGAAAACAAGAGATATGAGGACAAAGGGAAGAAAACTTGAGAATTTGGCATTATAAAAAGTATATGAATAAACACATCACTAAAAAAAAATACCTATATAGGGATCAAGGAAATCTCCATTGGATTTGGGGGGGAGGAAGACATTTAAAATTAAAGATATTTAGCGATTAAGGCAGGAGCTGGGGATATAGCTCAGGGACATCCTGAGTTCGATCTCTGATACTGAAAAAAAAACAAATCTCAGTACAAACTTGTGTGTGGCCAAACACAAAATGAATAGAAATGGAAGCAGAACCTGCAGGACTGCAAACAGCTCCTCCTATAACATTGTGTCGGGGACAAGAAATACAAGGCACTCAGTGTATGGCTGTGAGTAGCTTTTCATGTTGGAATCACTAACTGGATTGTTAGTTTTTTTGTTTTTTTTTAAATGGGGAGAGTTAGCATTTTTTACAGATGGAAGAAGAAAAAGTATGAAGATGCTACATTATACAAAAGAATATTCTACTAGTATCTTGAGGAGGAAAGAATAGAGTCCAGAAGAATGATGAAGGGATCAACACTGCATGATTTTCTAGGGCTGCTATCAGAAAATGTCACCAACTGGGCAGTTTACCAACTAAACTTCAGATTATTATCTCACAGGTCTGGCAGTCTTAAAGTCTAATGTGCTTACATCAAAGAATCGGCCTTGGTTCTTTCTGATGGCTATCAGGGAACAATCTACTCCAGCGCCCTGTTTTTGACTTGTAGATGACCACATCTTGCATGTGTTTTTTTACACTGTCTTCCTTATAAGAATATCAGTATCCTATTCACTCCCTTTTGTGTAAGGACACCTATCCTACTGGACCTTAGTCCTGTATGATATCCTCCTAATTAACTAATTATATCTGAAATAACTCTTTTTCCAAATAAGACTACATTCTGAAGTGCTAGCACTTCACTATGAGAATTTGATAGGGGCTGCAATTCAATCTGTAATGAATGGAAAGTGAGACAATTCTTCCTTTGAAATGGGAAGGAAATAGAGTAGCTGTGGGAGTTTGTAAATTTCATTTGGAAAGAAGTTTGGAAATTTCCATCTGCTTTTTATATTCTCTGAAGTGGGGGTAAAACCATCAACAAAAAAGGAGTTAAAGGTGAAGGTTAAAGTCTCTGGGGCAGTTGGAAAAGCATTGCATAAAATGAATGAGAAGCCTGACCAATGAGACTCTCAGCTTTGGCAGCTATTCCCACTTCAGCCTATTCCTGGAGATAATAACTAATGACACATTGTGCCCTGTAAATAACAGTGTGAAATCTCATGGGGAGGACAACTTTAGTTACAACAGCTTAGGCCTTAGTTGCTTTTCTCATTGCAGGGACAAAACATACAACATCTCAAGTTAAAGGAGGAAAGGCTTCTTTTGGATGACAGTTTGCAGAGGTTTCAGTCCATAATCAGCTGGCTCCAAGGCAGAGCAGTGTGGCAGAACAGCGTGGCAGAGCAGGCAAGAAGCAGCGGAAAACAGACAGTAGCAACAGATGCAGCAGCAAAAAGCAAAGGCAGCAGCAGCTTCTCTTAGTCCCTTTGTATTGTATCTAGGCTATAAGCCCACTGATTAGTGCCACCTACACCTGTGGTGGGGCGCCCATAATCCCAGCATTATGCACTTAATCTCCACATCATACACTTAATCTCCCAAAAACCCAATCTATGACCTCATACAACTTTAGGAACATCTAGATACAAGCCGTAACAATTTACAAAAAATTCATGCCAGTGTCATCAAAGAAAAGCTGTTCTCAGATTCTCCCATCAGCCATTCATTCGGAGCTCAGTTTCAGTGCCAGTCTGTTCATGACCATCCCTATTTTTATAATTAAAATTATACATATCCCTTTTATTAAAGCATTTATTGTAAGGTTGCCTCCCCTACACTTTGTTCCAAAGAGATCACTTTATGTATCTTTCAGTCTCCAAATATCTCCAGCCTTCCCAAACGCTGGAGGAAGCAGTTGGTATTCCGTGAACACTTGTGGAAATGAAACTTGACTAATGAATACTCACTAGACCATCTCTGTCATATTGAGAGTTATATCTTCCAAAAAGACTTGTCCAAAGACACAACTGTTATAGAAAGGGGTGGTGTAAGATTCATGTTTAATTCTAAAATTTCAGAATGTAAACATTTGTGGTAAGCTCCAGGAGCCACACACAGTGGAAATATCTGGAAGAACTATGATTTGACCTTCAATCTCATAAAAGTTCATTTTACCATATGGCAAGATAATTGTGGTGACCTAGTATATAAATGTGTTAATATATCTTCCTCTATTTGGGAAATCTGTAATAGTCATTTATAAATATCACTTATACATGGCAATGTTTTCATGCAACAGTGAGCAGGAGTTGTAAATAAATATCATTGTGTTTTATTTTGCAGAGTGATTGTGTACTTACATTTTTCCTGTCTGAGCCTGTGCAAGAAACAATTGAGGAATCTTCACTTGTGAGCCTAGGCAAGTAATTTCATTATTATAACCGTATGCAGTGATAGAGTTTTAATTTACATGTGTAAAAATATTTCAAGTATAATATTTTCAATTTCCAAATTAAAATCTCTTATTATAAGGCCTATTTAGTCTTTTCTAATCATTTCTGAAACTCTTACACCCCTTAGCATATGTTCTTTGAGTTAAATTAAGCTCACATGGTTTTATCCAATGATAGTAATTATGTGATATCATACTATTAATGTATTTCACTTAATTGGGTGTTGGGTTAGAATTGCATGTCACAAATAGAGTACCTGCCAGGCATGGTGATGCATGTCTATAATCCCAGCACTTGGGAAGCTCAGGCAGAAGGATCACAGTGAATTCAAAGCCAACCTGGGCTACATAGTGAGTTCAAGGCTAGTCTGAACTACATAGGGAGATTTTTGTCTCAAAAAAATTACATTTTAAAGTAAAACTATAGATGAGAGGATTAAAGCACCTGCTTAGGCAGAGCACAGCGGCCAGGGTTCAGTCCCCTGAATTCCATGCCGGCCCCGCCCCCAAAGAGTGCTGAGATGGCAATTGAACTTGAGTGTGGTGGCATTCACCTGCAATCCCAGTGTTTGGGAGACTGAAAACAGGAGAATAAATTTGAGTCCAATCTACATAGTGAGACCCTGTAGACCCTATAGACCCTGTAGCAAATATAAAAATAAATAAATAAATAAATCTAATAATAATAAAAGAAATAGAGTCCATATTTCCTCCAGAAGGTAGATATTCTAGTTTATTCCACATCTCAGGAAGCAAGAAAAATAAATATTACAATGCTAATTAAGGCTTATCTACAATTTTACTCCTGTCTTTTAAAGATCAATAATATTCTACTTCTTACACAAACTCTTACAGGGAGGCCAAAAAACCTGCATGATAATGCACCCTATTCTCTTCTAAATGTGGACTAGATTAATTCTAATTAACATTTGTATCATCCCACCAAGATTTACAGATACTTTTTCATATATTTCAATTTTAAGGATTTGTTACATAATTCGAATGCAAAGACAAGCCATCAACAGTATACTGCATTTTTACCTTAAGACTTACAAGTCCATAATGTTGCCAGACCTTTTAAGTCTTGGTCTTTATTTTATCTACATTTAATTTCAGTCTCTCTTTTTAAGATTAGGATGCCTATCTACTTATCGTTCTGCTATGTCAACATTGTAGCTCCTTACACCTCAAAGTGTAGCTCTGTAAACACTATTCTATCGTGTAGGATAATTGTTGAATAAGTTAGATGGCTATGCTTGCATTCACTTGCTTCTCCTGTTCAACAGAAAGTAACTTTACATCAAGAACCCACTTCTTCACTGTATGTTGTTCCACACTTACAAATCCTAAATGAACACTTGGACTGGGCCTTCTGCATTGCCACACATTTTGCTCACTAGTTGACATCGCCTTCCATGATGCTTTGCCTTAAAAATAGAAAAATAGGCTAGAAACAAGATTTATACAAAATTTTAGGTAAATCAACCACTTACATTATATAGCACTTACCAGAGGAAAAAATGACTTTGATTTAAGATATTCTATTTTATTGCCATAATTCATAAATGCCTAAATAGATACCTTCTAAAAACAGGTAGAGAAATTTTTATGATAAATATTGTAGCCTAGAATAATTGAAATTTTGAAAAAAGTAAGGTTGTGTAATGTGGAGATTTTACACAAAAAGAGGTAATAGGATTAACATTATAACATTAAAATCCCTCACTGATATTATTTTCCTGGGTTTCAACAAATTTGACACCAGATAATGATCAGGTTTTAAACTTCACTATGGTATTGTTTCTCTAAAAGTCACTTTGCAATAAATATACAACACAAAAGAATTGGGTTTATTTTTGTAAAAACTAAAATGGTTGCTTGAGAATATTTTCTTCTTAAAAGATTTTTTTACATCATCAATACTCAAGATTTTGTTTCAGCAAGGATAAATGACAAAAGATTTGCTTCTCAACATTTTTAAATTATAGGCTATATATGAAATATAACTGATTTTCTTAAAACAGTGGGACACATCTTCTGAGCAAAATATGCAAATCACTGCAATAAAGGATTAGCAGGAAGTGCTTCCTTCTTGTGCTCCTCAAATTATATCCTGTTTCATATTTCTGAATGATTAATCTTTTGTAATAGGACATCCAGTGAATCTAAGAAACCAGAACAACATTTATTTTAAGCACTATTCTTGTCAGTGAATTTTGAAAGTGTTAGCTTATATTGTTAAACAATTAGAGAGCAAAACTATTCAAGTGTATTAAAATATTGGTTACATAAGACCATCTTAAGTGAAAATCTCAGGCTTTACCACTTGACTGCCTCTACTAGTTGATTAAGAGAATGAAAGACAGGAGAGGGGAAGAAAGTAAGTAAGTATACAGATGAATAAATGTATATTATATACATTGAACATACCCAAAAGTGTGAACTTAGGGTAAGCACAGGGTAAAGTGGACAAAGGCAGAGGTGAAAATGATCAAAGTACTTTATGTGCATGTATAGATCTTCTAAAATAAAACTATTAATCTATAAATAATTAATAATATTGATTTATAAGCTATTAATCAATACAAGTTTTAAAGGAAGGCGCTATCTGGATTCTTATGTGTCTAGGCACATGACCTTAAAAATCATGTTAATAACACATACATAACCCTCACTCTAAGAGATATGAATAACCTTCCCCCTTTATCCACTAACTAAACAGGTCATGATAGAATAATAGAATTGCTATTTTTCACTTCTCAGTCATCACTTCTCAATTAAAACCTTTTTCTCTGCTTCCCTTGTGCCTTTCTCAGGGCAGGCTTCATGCAGTACACAGATACACAGGGCAGAGTCCAGTCTTTGGGTGATAGTTGACTGCCACTGTCTTGAAGTTCTTAATAAGTTTCAACAAAAAAAGTTGCATTTTTACTTAGCACTGGATCACACGTTATGGCTGCAGGCTAAAGAGCTAATTCCTCCTAATCCCACAGCATCTTCTCTCTAGACTGCTGTCAGGCCATCCCCCATCTTCATTCTGTCTTTTTCCAGTGCCTTAGCTAGGACAATCTCCCTAGGCGCTGCTGGATGGAATTCTTTCTCCCAGCTCTTGTGACTTCTATCTTCTTCATACTCTTTTGCACCCTTCAGATTTCAACTCCAATACTCTTACAATGCTATTTCTGTAAAGCACTTGTGTGCATATTCTGATATGAGTGATTATTTGCAGACTAGAAATCCTGGAGAGTATAATCCGTGTCTGTATGACATTGCTTGTGCATTCCCAGGGTCCAGGACACTGTTTGCTTTGCCCTGAATGCTCAATAAATAATCACTGAATAAGGGATTGATGTTAGAAAGAACCATGCAAACACATTCATATTCTTTATCAGAGTAGCATGTCATTTTTATAAAAAAGATAAGAAAAAAGCCTCACTTATTACTTGTGCAGAAAAGTCTTGGCAGAAGACAGCAAAAGCCTCCCAAATGCTAGAATTATTTCAAAGTATCAAGTAGGGGAAATATTCTACAAATTATATATTAAATATAAGGTATAACAGATCCAACAAAACTCTAATAAGAAAGTTGAATTTTATTTAAGGGGGAAAAAGTTGAAATTTATCTTAGACATTGAGTTTTTAACTAATGATGTAATACTTTATATTGTGCTACTGTAATAAAATACTTGACATTATCAACTAAAAAATAGACTCACAATTACAGAAGTTCTAATGCATAGTCAACTGACCACATTTCCTTGGGGCCTGTAGAGAGGAATGACAATGGTAGGGCAACATGGCTCACAAAAAAAGAGGAGAAAAAATATGGGTTATAGAGTATTTTTTCCAGTGATCTAAGTTTCTTCCATTGGCTGCATCTCCAAAAATTCCACTACCTCCTGTGAGTACCTTGGATTGAAGAACAAGTCTTCAACACATGCACCTTGCACGGACACTTATCCACAATACAACATCCTCCATGCCGAAAATGCTTTCACTCATACACACAAAGAATAAAATAATCCATTCACCACCACCACCACACAGCTCTGACACAACAGAAGACAAAATTGTCAAGGTACAAAAATAATAACATAAGTAATGGAGCAGAACAGGCCAAAGAAAACAATTTTCAGGTTAAGAGGATGAGTTAATGAGTGCTCAGACAACACTGATAATTACAAATGACTGCAAACTCAGGCTTTCAATCATCCCTCACATTGCTACGTGAACTTTAAGATGTTAATTTAAAAGAGAATTTGAAGGCATGTGATCCCCTGGCATGAACTTTCTGGTCAATGGTCTAGCTATTTGCTATCCCAGAAGCCTGATCAATTATCTATAAGTTGCATTATGGAACTCAGGTGTTCAATTTAAATTTTAATGATGTTACTTGATAGGAGGAACTCTTTTCAGGGTAGGATGAGTATGATTAACAATAATGCATTAGATGTCTCAAAATAGTAAGAAGGAAAGAATTTTGTTATCTTGAAAAGAATGCTAACAAAATAAAAACTACAGAATTTCAAACCAAGATGATAGAAAATTAACAATAACTACTACATTGCACACCGCTATCTTCAAAGTAGTGGCTCAGATTACCAGATATAGGCATGTAAAATTAGTCAAATAATATAAACACTAACTGTTCCTTGCAATTGACTAATAGAAACTAGTAGTACAATTATCATATATATAATATATATATATATATATATATATATATATATATATATATATATATATCCTTTTCTCTTCCCCTGCATCCCTGAATCTATTGTTTCCTTTTAGGGAGCTTGTCTTTCCTTTTCACAAAGTGTATAGTACTTTTGGATCTTTACTCACAGTTTCTTACATTAGAGAGACAATACAATGTTTACACATGTGAGTTTAAGTTATTTCACCTATGAGTATGGTCTCTAGTTATTTCCACTTGCATATAAAAGCCTGGAGTATATCTTTCATCAT